GATACGAATCAATGCCTAAGGCTCCACACGTCAACTGGTTTAGGATTAAAATGGCCTTTAAGGCCTGTTTGATGCTCTAAGTCCTTCGTATCCTTCTTTAGCTCGTTTGTGAGCTTAAATATGGTTTGAACCTGTCCCAACAACACACATTTAATCGTATATAACACAATTAAGCATCAATGCATCTATAGTAACATTAAACAAGCTTGGTACATTGAATTTGATAAAAATAAGTTCGGTTACAATATGACATGGCCATATGGCCTAACATGGAATTAGAAATCCTAATGAGACCACAAAAGATATAAGGATGGTCTCAAAACTATTTCTATCCGTAAGACCAATACGTAGGCTAGTCATATACAACTTGTATCGAATAAAAATAGATTGCATAACCATTACATGTTCATGTCACATCAAATATTTACATTGGTTACAAAAGAAGTTAAAATTAAGGGTCCTCTAATCCTGTCTAAGCTTGTGGAGGAATGTCATCTACCACCTCCCTTCTATAACCTGAAAAAATGGTAGAAGAATGAACACGAGGCCCAATAGAGATTGCCTAAATGGCATTTCCTAAAATTAAGTAAACGAAACGTATACTTAGATACGTCAATGAATAGAGTAGGAGAATAGGGATCATGCCAGGACTACACATCATTAATAATTAACAATTAATCTACCATCAACCATTTGAAGTGATGCAATGCATGAAATGACTTTTACAATGAATACCACACATGCACATCCTCACATATCCACACACACACCCACAGAAAACGTGCTAACTAGCCGGACTTTGGTACCTCCACCGTCCCTAGGAAGAATTTTCTGGTCGTCCTTGGCAAAGGGTGACTCCCAACTACCTTGGGGCCTAAGGTCGCTAAATTACTCACGGGTACCTCCCGTGTCCCTATCAACTAGTTAATACCACCGGCAAAGGGATACCTCCCCAACTACTGAGTTTAGGAAAAACCTTCATATACACAATTCTACCTTGCATGAACTTAATCATAAACATCAACTTTAAAGCACAAATAACATTTGAGAACTCCTCAGTAATTCAACATGTCAACATACGCACACGCGCACAAACACATGCGTGCGCGCAAACGGACGCACAAAGAAATATATATATATATATATATATATATATATATATATATCAAGGCAATAATAGCATGCATTTGACAATAAAATAATAACATTACCATGCTTATTCAAAATTTACCACATAGTCCATGCTATCCTTACAACTCAACTCAACAAAATCACAATTCATCACATTTGAATTAACAATTCAACATAGTCCGTCACATACATATATAACCCCAGGATGTTACTACCAAACTATTCGACATCAAATTAGCATGCAAAAATTAAGGGAAAACATGAAATTGACTACTAAATTAAAGGACTAAACAATTTAGATAACTCTACCTCTATGAATGTAAAAAGTCCCAAAATTCAAAATCACCCAATTGGAAATCCTATCCAATCAATTCATAGCTCTCGTCGAGCTTGTTAACTTTGCCTTCGATGACAAAGTTCAATTCATGAAGGAAGGATGTGAATCAGAGGTTTGAAATTATAAAACTAGAGTGAGAAAGAATTTGTAGCGAGAGAAGGGAAGCCTCGGCTAGAAAGAAGAAGAAATGGGCTAAAAAAACTATGAAATTGTGGCCTTAAGAATTGCTTTGGTCAAAGTGGGGTCCACTTGACCCACTAATTGACTATTTTATCCCCCTTTGCATATATACAATATAAACATGCCACAATGATACCATTAAACATATAACAACATAAATATGCTCTAATTAATATAATATGAAATACAATAACCCCGAAAAATAACCCCAAGCACGAAAATTCCGAGCGTGGGGTTCATAAGGAACCTCTTGGCCCGAAAATCTAAAAAATACCAAAATGACCCCAAAATATATTTCTAAGGGTCCTAAACTCAAAGAAATGCCTCAACCCAGTCTCGGAACTTTCGTGGAATGCTAACCGGTGCGTGGCATGTAAAACGAGGCGAGAAAATAAAATAATCGAAAAGATGGAAAATTGTGAAACGTCATAAAGAAGAAGGAGGCAGAGATGGAGCTAAGCTTGGGAGTGGATGTGCACACCTTAAAGTTTTTCTTCCTTCTCTTCATGGCCGGCTAAACTCTCCACTTAAGGTTTGGATGAACCCTAAGTTTGTGTAATTATAACTCTTTGACTTCATAATTTGGGAGATTGTAATTGTATAATTGTTAGGCCTAAGGATTTCTTTGTTGGTTGCACCAAACAATTATATGCTTTAATTCTATATCAATTTTGAATCATCTCCATGTTGTCTTACATTTGGATGGATTATTGTTGATCTCAACCTTAATTGCTTTTTGTAATTGTACTTAAAGATGACCTTGCATTTGTGCTAATTTGGATACACTTGATATTGAATTTGAATGACTATGCTCATTCTTGATGAATTATACCAACAATGTCGAGTAGTTAGGTGGATAGTTCATTCTTAAGGTTGATAGTTCATATTTAATAAATGCATTTGTAGAGAACCTGAGCGAACCATCAATAACGAGGATGCAAATAGCCATATAAAACTTGTATACATAAACCAAAAATAATATTGACTCCACCCGACTATATGAGCACGACAAATCGCCTTGTAGTTCTACAAATTGGTAAGATTCATTTTCATAAATTGGTATTAATATTATTTGTGAAAATTACTTCATTTTTTAATTTTTAAAATCCATTTTTCTTTCTGGGTATTGAGGCATTTCCTTTGTCATCATCATTCTTCTCACACTAATATGAGATTTTTTAACCTGGCAAACACACCACAAGAAGCAGCATAAACTTAACATGAACAATCCCTGGCTGCTAGATATGTAATATGAAAAGGAATAGAGATGAGAGCAACATCCTGGACAAGATGACCACTAGATAGCGCTGCAAGAGCATGAGCTACCTCATTCATGCCTGTGAACATGGCTAAGACTGGATGAGGAGAAACTCTGAAGTGCCATCTGCACATTAAAGGTAATAGCCTAAATATCCACAGGCCCATAAGTATTATCTAAAACAACATTCACCACCACCAACGAATGAGATTCAAACCAAACATGAGAGTAGTGAAAAGACAACACCCAGAAAATAGCCTTACAAAGGCATAAAGCCTCAGCCAAAGATGCGTTAGAAGCCGGGAATTGACTAAAAACTACAGCCTCCAAAATAGACCCTGAAGAGTTACAAAAAATAGCCCCACCTCCTCCCAAATGAGCTGAAGAAGAGAAGGAGGCATCCACATTACATTTAATAACTCCTGGAGATGAAGGCAACCAGCTCAGCAAAGAAAGAGAGTGCACAGAAGGAGAAGAAACAACAAGCCGTCCCACTGGCAGATGTGAACGGGATAACAAGGAAACCTCCTTAAATTCCTAGAAAAAAGACCCCGCCAGCCAAGCCACTCGAGAAGCATCCCAAAAAACCCCAGAAAAAATGAGTTTGTTATGAGCTTTCCAAATAAACCAACAATAGCAAGCAACAAACCCCAACACATCTACCCCTACGTCCGTCGATCCCCATTGATGAACCAAACTCAATCACCAATCTGCAAAGGAAAGTGGGGGGGGCTGTAATAAAATCAAACCGAAGAGGAGAGAGCTTCCAAACCTGAAGTGAATGGGAACATTAAAAAAACAAATGTTCAATAGTTCCGACTGAAAACCACAACAAGGACACACAATAGAAACAACAATCCCATGAGCAATCAAACGCTCACGAACCGGAACAGCAAGCTTGCAACATTTCCACAAGAAATGTTCTATCTTAGGTGGCATTTTGCCCGACCAAATACTTTTCCACAGAAGCTGACAGGAAGAAGAGGAAGCATTATCTCTAGAAGAACGACGTCCACCAATCAAAAGACGATACGCTACATAATAGGCAGACTTCACAGAAAACAACCCATTAGTCTCCAAGTCCCAAGCCAACCTATCCGGTTTAGAGCAGAAGATAAAACTCCATTTTTTAATAGCATCCACAGTGGCAGGCAAAAATAATTGATGCAACAAAGATACATTCCAACCATAGGAAGAAACATCCAACAAGTCTGACACGAATTGAGGCACCATTGAAGTAGCCGGTCGTGGTAATGGAAAGGAATGGTCGGGAAGCCAACGATCAGCCCAAATATGTATAGATTGACCATTTCCCACAATCCACCATGACCCAGCTAAGATAATAGATTGCGTGGATCAAATGCTTCTCCAGGCCGAGGAAGGATTAGATCCCAAAGCAGCTTCCATAAATGAACAATTTGGAAAATATTTAGCTTTGTAAAGCTGATACGCCATCCCTTGATGAAGCGCATGAAAATTCCATCTATGCTTAGCCAATAAAGCTAAATTAAAGGCTTCAAAATTGCAAAAACCTAATCTCCCATTCGCCTTAGGCTGACATAAATCTTCCCATGCCACCCAATTAACACGAGAAGAAGCACCCGACTTTGCCCACCAAAACCGACGAACATGCTTCAGAATAGAGAAGCATAACTTATATATTATTTGAATCTTGATTCAAATTTTTCTTATATTGTATATGCGTGCTTGTAATTTTATATACACATATGTATATACATACTTATTTACATTGTTTAATTCAATTCTAAATTAATGATGTCATCCGAATAATAAAATTAGAATTGAATTCAATTACACTTGAATTTTAAATTTGATCCAAATAGTGAATTTCAACTTAAATTGATGGGATTCCAATCCAATTCCATTCCATTCCATTCCATTCCATTCAACCAAATATAACCTAACATCCTAATTCTCTCCCACACTGACACCCACACTGACACACACGGAGACAGACAGCTATTATTCTAGATATTCACTTTATTCCTTTCCACATATAGCATATCTATCTTTTCCTCTAATCAACCAAATATAACCTAACATCCTAATTCTCTCCCACACTGACACCCACACTTACACACACGGAGACAGACAACTATTATTCTAGATATTCACTTTATTCCTTTCCACATATAGCATATCTATCTTTTCCTCTAATCTCTCTCCATCTTTCTTTATATTCTCTGCCACTCAACAATACACTGTCTACAACCACAAAATCTATTTTTTGAAACCTAAATCAGGCAAGACCCATTTCTTCCTTATATCTTCTCCTTATTTCACGTTCTATGTAAAATCAAATAAACCCCATTTGTAGACTAATCACCTGTGCTTGCCTAGATTGACATTAATTCAATGTAGAAAGAGGCTGAGTATTAAACGATTGATGAAGAGATTTTCAGATAGATTTTGTGATTGGTAATTCTGTTTTTTGTGATTGATAATTCCGAATTTATCTCAATAACAGAATTGCCACTATCACATATTGATTGACTCACTTGATGGATCATTTTCTACTTAGTCTCCTTGTTACTCTCTCTGTTTCTTTAGGGAAATATGCAAGCAAAGCTGCTGATGACGGTAGCTTTGATCAGAACTACTACGTTGCATGGGGATCAAACCATTTCACTCTTCTTGACCAGGGAAAAACAGCTCAACTTTTAGTTGATCCGTCTTCAGGTTGATATCATCATGTTCAATTCTAAACTTCATTTGTATGTGTTTATTTTACGTGTGCCAAATACACAAACATGCACATACATATTCTTTTCTGTCTCTCTTTCCTTGACAAAAAGTTTTTTTTAAAAAAACTCACCCTCATATACCCTTACGAGACATGAGCGATGGGTGTTCCCCTTTAAAAGGCAAGTACCACTAGAATTAATTAACATAGTTATATATATATATATATATATATATATTTCTGATTATGCTAGTTTCCACGTATATAAGGGCCTGTACGCATGGATCCTACGTACTATTATATTAATTGTCTACGATTGACAATAACATCTAATAATTTATTTAATTTTTTGTTTGGAGGGGTTGATTAAATAGAATATTCATGCATCTACTATATGTTGCATCTTGTGTGTGCTGCTTGATATAACATAGTTATATATGTGTGTGCATATATATATATATATATATATATATATATATTTCTGATTATGCTAGTTTCCACGTACATAAGGGCATGTACGCATGGATCCTACTATTATATTAATTGTCTACGATTGACAATAACATCTAATAATTTATTTAATTTTTTGTTTGGAGGGGGTTGATTAAATAGAATATTCATGCATCTACTATATGTTGCATCACTTGTGTGCTGCTTGATAATTCAATTCAGCACTTAATTTTAAACAAATTAAGTGTTTATCTAATTAAAACTGAAAATTTTAAAGACCACTAAAAATGAAATAAAATTTTAAGTAACAGGAACGCTACTTGTCAGTAAAATGCTGAATGCTAAATTTTATTTATTTTTAATTATCAATAAAAAAATTCAACACTTAAAATTTAATTCTTAAAATTTTCATACTTAATTTTTAGTTCTATCAAACAATACCTAATTGTAAAATATATTGGACCACGCAGGAGCAGGATTTAGTTCAAAGCAAGAATATGGCTCGGGATATTTTGGAATGAGGATGAAGATACCAAACAAGAGCTCAAAAGGACTTATCACAACTTTTTATGTAAATAATATTATATATGCATATGGGTTTGATTTTCATTAGTTAGATAAATTTATTATTATTGTTGTTCTTTTAATTACTTTTCATGCATGTATTATTCTCTTACCTGTAAATAATTGTTAATTCATCGTTGCAGTTAACTTCTAAGCCAGTTAATCAACCGACCGCTAATTATCATGATGAGATTGATTTTGAATTCTTGGGTAACAATACAATGCCTTATACAATACATACGAATGTATATGCGAAGGATAATGGTGGAAGGGAGCAAGAATTTCATCTCTGGTTTGACCCTACTCAGGATTTTCATAACTATGAAATTCTATGGAACCAACATCAAATAGCGTAAGCCATCATCACTACTTAGACCTTAATAATTAACCATGCATATATCTTTGATATATATATATATATAAAAGGTGACAATCAAAATCCACCCCATACTTAATTATAAGAAAAATAATAAATATCATGAATGATTTTCATGATATAATAACCTGAATGATACACATGTGAATTTTAAAATAAATTTTTAAGAGAGAAAGTTAAAAGGATAAAAAACCTATAACAAATTAAGGAAAGAAACCAGAGAGGGAGAGGAACAACACAACAAATTAAGGAGAGAAACCATATAAGCTTGTAGAAATACATTGTGATTTATAAATTTATATGTACTTTTGTGTATGTTTGTGTATATAAGGCCTCTAGCTGAAGTGAGACCGAAAGGCAAGTGTATGAAAGTGACGTGGTGGTCCTGATGGGTAGGGCTTACAAGAACACTAAAAAAAAAAAAGAAAAAAAAAAAAGAAAGAAGTAAGTTGTCAAACTATATTATTTGTTGATGCAGAAATCTGTACGGTCCGGAGTCGGAGGTGTTTCCTGCAAGACCAGATAGAAGTGACAAGTGACGTGGTGCCGTCCGGGTGCACTCTGATGGTCAAGTTAGTACTTGACGATTGAATATCCAATAAAGAATTAAATATAGGATTTATGACGTCCCCCATACGTCGATTAGCCCTTTTTATTTATAGAGCTTAAGTCAGGATGTCACGTAGAGTTACCGTTGTCTTCATCCTTATTATAATCTATAGACTTAATCCTTATCATAATCTGTAAATTTAATCCTTATCGTAATCTGTAATCCTTATCGTAATTTGTAGGTTTAATCCTTATATTAATCTGTAATCCTTATCGTAATCTGTAGAACCTATCTCAATTTTATGAGATAGCACGTTAATTTAACAATCTTCCCTTATCCACAGGTATTTAATTTATACATGCATCAATATTCGTGATGTAGATCATAAAATTTCTTTCATGATGTGTGTTGCTATTCTACTTAATAGTGAATTTCACCACCATGAACTTCAGGACTTTAATATTGACAACTTAATTTAAATGGTGAATTTCACCCTTTTCATCAGGTGCTTGAGAGGATTGGGGTGTCATAATATCAATCACCCTCTTATTGGTTGTTTATATAATTGATTTTAGGTTCTTTGTAGACCAAGTCCCTATCAGAGTGTTCAAGAACAAGACAAATGTGAATTTCCCATCACACTCCATGCATATAGAGGCAAGCTTATGGAATGCAAAAGATTGGCAAGGAGACGTGAATTGGAGCGAAGGACCATTCACAGCCTTGTACCAAAGTTTCCGAATCAATGGGTGCCCCTATCAGAGCTCGAACCCTCAGCAGTGTTACTCTTCCAAGTTGCCTTGGAATGGGAAGAAAAAATGGCAACTCAACCGTGCGCAACAAGCAAAACTTGAAGAAGTTAGAAAGAAGTACATGTTTTATGATTATTGTTATCAAAGGGGCCAAAATTATCCAGAATGCTCAAGTTAGCAACCAGCAATTGACTCACATGGTGGGAATTATTAATAAGACAAATAACACAGCCCATGCTGGATTAGTTTGGTTGCTCTTTCTTTTTGGTCGTCATCATGTAATTAACAATGGTTAATTATATGGTACTATCAATAAAACAACATTTCAGTGCGTGGCTCATTAATGGTTTAATTTGATTTCTTGTTGTGCCCTTGTTTTATATATATATATATATATATATATATATATATATATATATTTCGAAAGGTATATATAGTAACTGTATATACAAGCGCAATGAAACTGTATAAGGCCCGGGTTATAGTGGTCTATAAAACATTAGTACAGAGGGTTACCCTTACAATTGAAATTAACCCCAAAATAAGTTGAAATATGTTTGGCGCTGAATGTTATACATTTTAACTTCTTAACTTGCATGTTTTATTCTCTTAGTTGTAGTTTATTTGTGATTTTATATTGTTTTATTGTTTTTATTTATTTCAGAGCTTTAATTGTAATATCAGTCAAGACCAGTGATTCCGAGCTTTAAAAGATGACATCCGTGGGACTGAGTAATGTTAAATATCCAAGTCTAATTAGTCTTAGAAAGAGTCCAAGAGAATCCACAAACTGATGAGAATGGAAAGAAGAAGAAAAGGAAGAATCATTCTCCAACAAGGAATCTTTTTCCAAAGTTGGTAGCTTGAACCCGTTTCGGTACTGTCTGTATATCTCTTCTCTAGTGTCAAAATAGCTAACAGCTAATTCTAGACCGATTTTGTTCATCTTTTTTGTCATGACGGTGTTTTTTTGTTCACAGACTTTTTCCGTTTGAGCGCATCTGGACAATTTTCACTTTTTAGGGCACTTTTAGGAATTCTATAAAAAGAGGGGTGAGAGAGAGAAAATTGGCAAGCTGCTGTCATTTCTTTATTTGAGCCCTTTAACCTTTGATTCTCCCTTGGCCACTGAAGGCATAAGTGTCATCCTTGACAAGGCCTTCGATTCCAACCGATTAGAATCCCATTATGGCCAATTTTTGAGTTCGGCATTTGGCTTGGGTTCGGATTTTGGTGTTACCGCAAGTGGGTTTGTTCTTCCCCTCGTTGTCCCCATCATAACCCCTGTTGTGAGATTTATATGTACCACTTGCAAGTGTACGAATCTTTACAGATAGGGATTACTTGTAAGGGTGTCATACTCAAGGGACTTGTGTAAATTAAGTTTGTCAACAGATTTCTTAAATTTCAAATTAATTTGAAAGTAGGATAATCAAATTGTGATGATTAATTCTAAATTAACTAACTAGAAAAATAAAATAAACTATAGAACAATGATTAAATAGGATGTAGAAAATAGAGAGAGAGAACTAGGGGAATGACTTCACCACTAACGTCGCGCCACCGGTTAATTGAATCAATTTATTGGAGATATATGATATAACATGCATAGAGGATAAATCATGGCTACAAGCACATATTAATTCATCTAGAAAATAATATAATTTAAAGCTAAGCATAGACTATCTTCGATTGGTATAAACCATCTACCTATCTACTTTACTCTAGGGTGTAGTATGATCTATCTTTTCTAGACATAATCCATCAAATCTTTAACATTATATTTAGAAAAATACCATTGTGTAATCTTCTCATTTACAACTATAAAAAGTGAATGAGTTGTGTTCAATCACAAAATTAAAATATCTAAGACAAGATAAAAAAATATTTGTAATTGAATTAAAACTCTAAAACCGATTTTTATTGAAAAATCAATTAAAAATTCTATAGATTATGCAATCATATATGATAAAAATTGTTCTCCAATAAATAAATACAATCAAACCAATGTACTAAGCTAGGGCTATATCATAGCCCTAACAAAACGTTTCGCCAAGCATGACTGGAGTGGAAATCTTCATGGTTAAGGAAGATATCTCCACTGCCATGGATTGATCCCTTCCTTCTTCTGAATGCTCCTCTCTGATCTCAGCCTCATGCTCGTCTATATGATGATGCTTCAATGCCTTAGAAGACTCCCTTTAAATAATAAAAGATCATTCCTAAAGTTCTTTTTTTCATATTGAAGACATACAGAGAAATTATGTCAAATAAGGACTTCAAAAATTATACAGACTTCCAACCCAATTTTGACAAGGTAAACAGCTGTTTTATGGAATCCTCGTGAAATACAAAATTGGAGTTCTTCAAATTTCCTTTCAACTGGCTTGAGAATTTAGCTGTTTTGACACTTGAGGAGAGAGATACAGCCAGATTACCAAAATGGGTTCAAGTTACCAACTTTAGTGAAAGTTTCCTTTTTTGAGAAGGATTTTTCCTTTTCTTCTTTCCATTCTCATCAACTTGTGGCTTCTTTTGGACTATTTTCTAAGTATAATTAGACTTGGATCTTCAACATTGCTCGGTCCCACTAAATGCCATCTTTTAATGTTCAGAATCACTGGTCTTAACTGATTTTACATTTAAATCCCTAAAATAAATAAAAACAATACAACAATGTAAAATCACAAATAAACTATTATTAAAATAATAAAACATGCAAGTAAAGGGGCTATAATGTATAACATTCAGCGCCTGATGCGACCCGAGCTTGTGCACAAAATAGTGCACAATACTTTGGTTTTGGAAATGGTATCAAACGGGCATCATACTTTAAATTTATATAAAAGTCGCTTGACACTTATACCGTCAAGTATGAAGTGAGAAGGGATCGTTCCTAACTGATTGAACACGTGTTGGGATTAAACTTGATTTTAGTGCTAATTAGATTGCACAAGAGAGAGAGAGAGAGAGAAAAAAAAAATAAAAAAATAAAAGATTTTTGGTGAACTGATTAAACTAGAGTTCAATTAAAAGCATGGAAATAGAAATAACAATGCAAGTAAATTAATCTAAGAATTAAAGAGATAGGAAGAGAGTCTTAGGGTTAGGATTCACCACTAAGCTCATGCAATTAACTATTTGCTTTCAATTAATGGGGAATTTATTAGTGTAATCATAGATGTAGTCACATTATCATCACATATCACAATTGTAAGCATAGATTATTAACATCAAGAATGAATTGTCTACCTAATGACAATTAAACTAAAGTGTAGAACCCATTCAAAACTACGTCATAACCTACCCTACACATTCACAAATGTATCCGATAAGAGTACACATCATTCAAGAAGATAACACTAATTGTAATTAGAAGTATGGATTAACATAATCAAGCACAAATTGCCTTCTTTACTACAATTAACTAATGACAATAAACTAATTTGTAGAACAACCCATCAAGATTAAGCCTTTATCCATCAAATTAATTGACAATTATATCAACCAAGTATCATGGTATGGCCATCACTAAACATAACTAAAAGAAGTATCTAGTGTAGAGTATAATTCTAAATTAATCACACATAGACATGCAATTTTCATATAGAATCAATAGAAGAATTAATTTTCAATCATCTAATGAAGACTAAAATACCTAATTAATCATATATAGACATACAATCAACTAGAGATTTTAATCGAAGAATTTATCAATACAAGCCCTAATTTGTCAAATCAAGCGTGTATATATAAAGAAATCACAAGGTCATACAGTTAAATACAACATATCAATTCCCCAAGAAAAGAAATACAAAGGTTTAACTTACATGAACTTAGGGCTCATCCAAGCCCTAAGTGAAGCACTAGCTCATGGAGGAGATGATCATGGTGTCAACAAGCCCAATCCCCATCGTTTGGCTCCTTCTTCTTCTTCCTTCAATTGTAGACAGAGCCTCCGTAAAATGTTCTTCCAACCCTCGCTTTCTCCTTTTTTCCAGAGAGAACGTAATATCATGGTACAGAAAATAAAACTTAATATCCTCCTCTAATTAATAAATTAAAAACTCTTTAAATAAAATAAAAACTAACTCTAAACTAATGTCTCAAGGCCTTAAGTAACAAACCCTATTAAAGCCCATAAGTTACAAAAATAAGCCCAAAATAAGAAAATCCCGTAATGCTGCCAGGTACTGGGGGATTAATCCCACAGCCTTGGGGATCGATCCCCCAAGGGCATTTTTAGTTCTGTGAATAGTGGGGGATCGATCTCCCAGAGTTGGAAATTTCCTTTAAGCTTTATTTAGCTCCATTTTGACCCCGGGCTAATTGGTTTGCTTCTTCATCTTTGGGAACATCATCAAAGGCCTGAGATTGACCGCTTTTGAAAAATAAACACACTATACGAGCAATGAGTTGCGACCTCTTTTTGCCATTTTTTGAACTTTTTTCTGAATGTCTTTGCTTGACTGCAAAAAGGCTTTAATGAACCAAAATTAGTCCGTTTGAACTTTATTGACCTGAAATTGACAAAAACATAAATTAGAACTAAAACATGAAAATAAGATAGATGCAATGACTAAAATACCCTAGTTTAGGTACTGAAATATACAACATTTAAGCACTTATCAGCGCCTAACACACCCCCAAACTTACATATTGCTAGTTCCATAGCAATAAAACTAAAGAAAACATAAATGCCGCTTTCGTGGGAATCACGATTGCATTTAGCGTATACAACAAGCCTTTTAAACCCCTAGGCTCCCTCTAATGGACGAGTGAAGTCTCGCTAGGTTTCTAGAGATGATACCCACAAACATACAACATAATTCATATTGGGATTTATATGCCCTAGCATAGCAAATTCTTATTTAGATTATAGTGACATATGTTCCTGACGTTTTTGAAATATTTATGCTTTATACAATTGGTGAATTCAATGTATTATGTTTTAATTCATTATAGAATTGATAGTGTCTATTTATATATGTATGTGATGGCAATCAATACATGAATATAACTAGTAATTATAAATTGTTCATAGTCAGTAATTATGGATAGACTCATTATTAACTAAGACTTGAACTAGATCTGCGTTAGGTTGAAATATATTACGAGAGCCGTCATATGCAATTGCTCCCTATCACCGTCATGGCATTTGACTCTTAAGCATGAGAGAAGTGTAGACTCTTTTATTAATTAATAATTACCTTGATTTGTTCGGCGGAATCTTCGGAATCCTTAGACCGGCACTTTGGGTAATTATGTAATTAATAGTTAGAGGGATATATTTTCAATATTTGTGTCATTGCTACTTGTATTTATTTTGTA